GCCGCTGCTTCTTAATAGACGGATAGTGAATGTGAGGCAGAATTAAAATACCACCAGAGGCAGATTCCCAGAGGCACGAGAGCAGGACAGATCAAAAGGGAAATGAGGAGATCCACATCAGCCTGGTATCATGTGGGGTTTGCCCTCCTGTGTAGGTACGTGCACCATGGCAACCACAGCAATTGATTGGCCCATGTCTCCCACTGTGTACAGTGCAGGCCTTGTTATGTGGGATATTGGTTTTTTACTTGCTACCCTGGGCCCTTCATAGCGTGCATTAGCTGTGGTTTCTCAGGTGCCCAGCCATCATGTGCGCTTACCTTCTATTTGGTTCGGCATGACTTTGAAGGACAGCAGATGGAAAGAGGCGAGGATGACTGTGACAAAATGCTCAAGGTCTCTGAAATGGTACTGGTACCATGAAAGCCTGAAGGTGTCAAATTGAGTAGTTAAAAGTAGACTCTATCGAACCTGTCAAAAAACCTCCGTTAACTATAATTCTGTTTATAGATCCTGGTCTATTTTTCACCTAAACGTTTTGAGTAGTTACATATTCATTTAATTTGGTTCTTTATTTTTTATTTCTGTATATTATTAGCATAGTTGTCAGTTACAATACACCAAATGCTCCATATTAAACCCCCAGTTAGCCGTGGAAATCAGTACAATCAGTTCAATTACCAGAAGATATGCTCCTCTATGGGTTAAGAGATTCCGCTAAATCTCCTGGCTTCATGAAACCCTTTCAGAAAAAACAAGATGCCTTTCAGCTAAGAATTAAACTGTTCCTTTTAGTTTTGTGAACATTTTCCCAGTCAATAACAAACTAGAATACAATTAGAGTGATTCTTGTTAGCGTGTTTCAATCTAATTCTACTTCTTTTGTAAAAGCTAGTAAAAATTACATTAAACAAAAAACAGGCAGTTTTTGTTAGGTTAACAGCTCACAAAATCATTTTGTCATACGTTGTTACCACATGTTGCTGGGCACCTTTTATTAAAATTCATGCAATTTCGAGTTGTTTTTGACTGTATATTGAAAGGTTTCCAACACAGGACAAACGTGTCTGGATAGAGATGAATATCAGGATTTTAGCAATTTCAGACTATCTTGATGTAACATTATACACTCTAGTACTGTAAATAGATAAAGGCAACTACATTCCCCTTTATTTATTAGTGTTGGTGCCTGAATTTGCCTACATTTGAAAGTCTGAAATGGAAAGTGTGCCTCCTTTGCAGTTCAACCAACGATGTATAGAAAACTAAATTTTAAAAATTTGATGAGGCATGATCAGAAGTTATAATGAGTGATTCTTTTTCACACTTGTATATCCTCTGTGGACACGGAGATGCTATCACCGTAAAGAGTGAGTTGCCCCAAATTCAGCATCTGTGTGAATTCTGTGCTTTCGCTAATTTATGACACTTGAAGAAGTGGTGTAATTCTTTGATGCAAAATACTCTGGGCAGTGGAGGTTAAACAGGTACTTACGATACTGAGCATCATGCATCCTTTTACACAGCTACTGGAAAATATACAGTGGATTGCATTACAACTGCTTAATACTGCACTCCTCCAGAATGATTTTGTCTGTTGTCCTTGCCAGCCATGTTTCCAGATGTCTGAAAATGTATGACCCCTCTTGACAATGTATGACCCCTCTTGACAAATACCAGCTTTTAACAGTACAGTATTCCCTAGAACCATCCCCACGCCTTCATTAAGTATGCAGTTAAAAAAAAAAAAAAAAAGCAGAAAGAACATGAATATTGAAATGAATAATGTATAGTTTTTGCTTTTGGCTACAGCAAGATCTAAGACAAACAGGCTTGCTCTCGCTGCAAATTTCAAGGAGCTGCAAATGTCAGTTACATTCTCCTTAAATTTAAAATGTACGCCATAACTGTATATACTTTTATTTAGAAACATTTTAACAGTGAAACAAAACATGTTCAGGCAGAGACAACAGGGACAAGATTTTTGATTCAGGGTCATGTAAATAGTGTTGTTTTCCTCAGGTCATTGAAACCAATATTCAAGCCCTGACACCGCAGACACATATTCAATAGTTTGTGCTCTCTTGAGCTCTCCCGCACACAGCTCCGTCTCAGCAGTCAATGCACCACAAAGTTGGCATTCATTCGTTTAATCTAATTTCATTTTAAATACAATATATACAATACAACATTTGAAATGATACGTGTAAAAAAATATATGTCATCTTACAATACAGTACCATTTAGAGAACGATGGAAAGTAATACAGACACAGAAACAACATCTTAACACACTCGCTCCACTTAACAATACACAGCACATGTGGACTCCGAACCTGTTGTAAGGTAGTATCGGTAGGCTTATAAGTACAAACCCAGTACAATTTTATTAGCAGAAGCTGAACAATAATTCATAGATCCTGATGTACAAAAGGAGTTGTTTTATCCACTGAAAATGCTTTTGTTCATGCACTTTGTACATGCTTCACTGGAAGACCGCTCACATTTCAAATAGCTCAGGATTCACACACCATATTCACATTCATCACTTGCTTGAAGCTTTTGGGATCGGATCCTCACAGCCAATATAACTGAACAAACTCAGTTACAGTTACCTGCCTGCAAGTGATTCACAAACCTCTGCCCTTTTTCTCACAGAGATCTGCTGATGCAGTTAGTGTTTAATTCTTGACAAATGGACAGTGAAAATGGCCATTCATTAGCTGTAAGTACTAAACAGGAGAAAATAACAGTTTTTCCTGAAGTATTAAGTGAAATGTACAGTATAACGGATCCTGTGCACACTGAAGGCCCGAGTAAGTATTGTGGTTTTTTAAACCTGCTGCCAATAGCAAATAATGCTGCGTGCAGCAGTTTGCTGACATCCAGTTGAGGAATTTATGCAGCTTTTGTTGTTATCCCCAAGATGTAAATCTGTCCATAAATCTGCAGCGTGCAGCTAGTTTTGGCTGGCATCTTATTTCGGATAAAGACCAGACAGCAATTTCTCCTCCAGAAATATCAGCCTCACAACACGGTTGCTCTACTTGGGCATGAGGTGTATCAAAGCCATCCATTACACTTGTAAAACAGCTAACTGCCCTGCGGTGACATCATGTGTTTATAGCTCATAAGCAGGTAATACTAGGTTGAATTGGCACCATGGTGTGCGTCATAAAGAATACCACACGTGCAGCACAATTTAGATTTTGTTCCCAAGCATCATCCATTCAAACAAGATCCCCTCCAAGGGGCTGATCCATGCAGGTCACGGAATCATTCACCAAAATGAATGACTGTTTTTCAAGGGAAATGCTGAAGAAAAACAATAAGCCATATTGTGAGGTGTTGGGTATTCTAATTTCATTTCAGATAGCACATGGGGGATTTGCTGAGGAAGGATTTTGAGGTGGCGGTACAAGCCAATCTGCAAAAGGTCTCGATCTGTGACACTGAACAAGACCTTGAGGGAAAACACAGAACAGGTGGCTATTGCAACAGCGGAACAAAGCTTTACAAAACTGTCGCAGCATGCTTAATGACGATCTGCTTCCACCTCATGTTCCTAAAGAACGTCAGTGTTATGTAAACATTTACCTCTTTATTGCATTGTTGAGTGATTTCTTGCCACCATTTCAATGCAGAAACTAATCTGTCACTGCAGATTGCTCACCAAAAGATCACAATTACATGAACATGGAAAATGACAAGGTTATTTCCGAAGCACGGCTCTGAATTGCTGTGAGCATCGGATGATGAGTTAACATGTGCAGCGTTAATTCTTGAAAATGTTAGCTGCTAAACAACATAAAGCAAGGTGGGGAATTCTAAAAAGGATCTTCAAAAGAAAGCCAAGCAAGTTTCCCCAAAGCAGCAGCAGCAGCAGACTGTATGAACCGAGAGCAAAGATCACAGAGAGGCAACCATGTAGGAGCAGAAACATTGGAGTTGTGAGAGCGCAACATTGGGGAAAGAACGAATTGAGATCCTATAGCTTCAGGGGAGATGTTGTTTTGCTGGTGTAGAGAGTGAAGCAAACACAGACCAATTTACTGGGGGAAAATTGTGCTGTGGTGGAAAAAAAGAGACCTAAGAGCAGACCTGGCCCATTCTTCACTGTGCAATCTAATCTCAGCTCCTGGAGAAGATGGGTGAAAACAAACATTGTTCTCCTGTCAGCAGCCCTGACGGAACATGCAGGAAAAGAGCTCAGCCCACTCACACACCTGCCTCAAACACAATGAAGAAGATGATTAAACTGGGAAAGAATATTTAAAACTGAAAGAAAATAAGAGTGACATGATGAATATTCAAGACAACAATGACCTCTGATACTTTCCTGGTGAGTTTTCAAAGAGGAAAATAATTAAGGACCAAATTGGGACATTCGCAGAGGGTCCCAGGGCTACACTTTTGCAGGCTCAATATCAGTCATGAAAGACTGCTGAAGACACAGGAGCTTTAATTTGATGGTATTTAAAAGAAGAATCTGTTTTGAAAAAAAGATTTAGTTACACATCATAATAGCTACCCCCCCCCCCCCCCCCNNCATTATAAATAATTAGTGGTTCATAATATTTAGAACTGTGAACAACTGTAATAAAATTAACAAAACTAGTAATTCAGTAGTTTGCTGTTCCCTAAGTTAGATTTGTTTACTTTTCTGAAAGAACCTTAAAATATGTTGCAGTGGTCAGGCTGGGTGATATTATTGAAATTAATATTAAAATATTGATATATCGATGCTGATACAATATGGCAGATGTACACAAATCACTTTTAAAATTATAAAATCAATGTTCAGTGCAATGAAATGTATTGTCATTATGCTTTACACCAGACATGACTCTTTTAATGTGCAAAACAAAACCGAATAGAACATTTCTTAATCCTTAATTAGATTAGCTTGGAACAATTAAAGGATACGGCTGGTGTAATTCTGTGTATTTTGTTATTGTCAACAAGTCCCATGAAA